TTTTGGCCTCTTCGGGGCCTCCTGGGGGGGCTCTTTTGCTATTTGCTATTTTGCTATTTGCCCGGATACCTGATGGTATTCGCTATTTGCATGGACATCTATTTGCCCGGACACCGCGAGTGTTCGCTATGTGCTGGAAAGATCATTACATCGATCTTATCCTATCTTATCCGCCCACCCCTCATACTGTACCTTCACAGCTACAGCAGAGCGATGGACGCTATTTGCCATCCGATGTCCACGGTCAGCGCCTTGGAATCGGATGCTATATGACAGGCTATATGCCCGATTTGAGTTACCAGGCTCACTTTCGACTTGGTAGCGGAGCTGGCCGCACTCTCGTGTGGTCAGCTTTTGCTCTTCTCAGCCTCACATTCTTCGGCACGATCTTCGTGACCACCTACTACCCTGCGCCACCACTCCCAGTACATTTACGAGGATCTATTCAAGAGCAAGAAGCTACGCGAGAGGTACGACGTCTAGACGACCAAATTGGTACCATATACGCTTCATCATTGCGTTACTATCAACCGCTCGGCAACGAGCCAATAACGCGATACCTGAAGCAAGGGCGGGGAAACCCGCCAGACAGAGCGCCTCGAAGACTCGACAAGGCGCTACCCCAGCGCGACACTGCTCATCATAACCATTCTTCGTTACACATTCTCGGGCTAATCGTTTTCGCTATCATATGGTTCGCGCTGGGGGCAGCAATCGCACACATGCGTCGGGGAGATAACAGCACCGATGGGCAAACACATGGCCCATATTGGGACCCTCAGGGTAATGTACCTTTTCGTGAGTACATTTACGAGGTCAACGCGTGGCTCAACGTTACAAGCGGACGTATGACGCCACAGGCCCAAGCGGCCGCAATACAACGCGGCCTGGGAGGCCTAGCGAGGACACTCGCCATGAGGGTACCGCCTGACATTATAAACTATGGTGCTGACATTGATGGGGTCCACACAGACCCAGTAACTTACATCATGTTCCTCCTCAGCATGAAGTTCGAACGCCTGGAAGATGAGCGACAGCTCACTTCCGGCACACAACTCATCGACTTCCATGTGCCTCACGGGGAACGAATCGATGTCACTCTTACCCGATTCGAAATGGCCCGACTTGAGGCACAGTCGGTGGGATTCGACCTTCCTAACTTCCAACTGCTAACCACTATCCTATTCCGCGCCTTAGGCGTCGGCAACCAGAAAGCCATGCAACTCTTACAGCCACTCAACCACCAAATGCCTCGAACACAACAACAATATGATGAGTTGCTGGAAAGGATGCGTTCGGTAGGTCACCTATCCGAACGATCCCCTGGCAACATAGGATCCGTGTTTGGAAGAGGAAGGGGATCTGGTAGTGGAAATTTCTACACTACCTTGACTACTGAAGCCCAGCCTGGAAACGGGCCCTCAAACATATGGGCCGATGACCCAGGAGAATCCACTGCTTTATTAGCAGGGGATCGATCACAACCAAGCTGGGCAACCAGCCCTCCTTCTAGAGAACCACAACCACACCGCTCGTTATGGGGGGAATCAAATCCCCTAACCGACGGTGTATCCACCTATTTAGGAGACGAAGATTTCGACTCCGGCACCGATACAGACACTATATCATCAGATGGTGTTGAAGCTCTAGATTGGTCAGATATCATGAATATGGATAACGACAATCAGCGTGCTGAGCATTTATTCTGGCTGTTACAACAGGCTAAACGAAGGTGGAGGAGGTTCACACGAAAACCAGTGCGTCGTGTTAGAAGGAGGATACGCAGAAGTTTTAAAGGAAAGGGTAAAGGCAAGCGTGGTCGTCGGAGGTTGAACGGGCGAGGTATCGCGGCATTTCTCCAGAGGCTCTCAGATGAACAACATGATGAGATATTCTTTGGGGGAAAAGGCCGCGGTAAAGGCCGTAGAGAGACCTCAGGTAAAGGTAAAGGTAGGCGGGGAAACCCGCGAGGTAGAGACGGCCAGGTTCTCAAATGTCATGAGTGTGGTAGTACCGATCATCTTGTGCGAGATTGTCCAGCGAAGGGAAATGGAAAGGGCATGTCGTCCGAAGTCCATTTCGGCTCAAGCACACCATCCATTGAGTATCTGAGCCTCCAGGACTTTGAGGCTATGGAACAGATATTTTTCACATGGGTCGTTGGCATGGACAACATTGACGAGCTCGAGGGGTATGGTCATGGATTATACGCGTATTACCTCGAGTACGTCCGCCGGTTCGTCACGGGCAGTAATGAACTCACTCCCGTGGAACACGGTACGCTCGGAAACGAGCCTCTTTCCTTCTTCGACTGGATGTTCGGGAACCCAGGCAACATCATGGCCTACGAGAGCGACGACGAGGACACCACTATAGAGGCTTCGCCTTCCGAGGTTCAACGGAACCTCGAACCTCCGCCCGAAATCCCGCCTGGACACAGGCCTTTTCTGCTGGGAGAATATCCCCATACTATTGAAGACTTAATTGAAATGGAGTCTCAAGCATTTGTTCAGGCCTTCATTGCAGGCGAACCAGGTTCTCCGTTCATACCTCCTGGTTCGCTTGCTCCAGGCGAATATGGACCGCGTACACTTTTGCAGACCCTCATGTGGATGCATGAGATACTTGCAATTGCATATCCTGAGAGTCAAGAACAAATTGAAGCTGGTATCATGACAGATAATGATAATGATGCCTGCGGTAGCTCAGAGCTACTCTTGGCAGCTTTGACTCTCATTGACAGTATAAATCCTCAGGAAGTGCAACGACACTTGGTATACTCCCATGGTAGATGGCGTCGTGCCCTGGAAATGGCAATGGCTATGCGTGGTCATGATCTTCCCCCGCCAGGATGGAATCTCCAGGAGCTGGGGATGAGGCCAAATCATACGGCCATGCGTAACATTGCTAGGCAGCCTATGCTCGTCGATGACCCTGAGCCGACGACTGCGCCTCCTACCTTGGCTCTTGTTAGACGGGGCGGCGGGGCGGCGTTCTGGGGCCGCCCACTGTCCGAGTCGATCGACCTAGCCCGGCGCGTTCCTCTCTCCTCCCCATCATCCTCCACATCCTCCCTCTCCCTTGCTATCGTGCTCCTGTTGTTGCTGCATGTCATCCTTCTCATCATTCTCCTCGTCCTTGTCCTTATCGTTATTGTCAGCCTTGTCTTATTTGCCCTTATCCTGCTCCTGCTCCTGCTCCTCCTCCTCCTCCTCCTCCTCCTCCTCTGCGTCCGTAGACTTCTCTTCGTGGTCCCTGTTATCGCCCTGATCATTATCCTCCTGAGGTCGGGATAGGTGGGAAGAGAACAAAGGGCGGGCAGGGGGGGGGGAAAGATGAGGAAAGGCAAGAGAAGGGTGATGATGATGAGGAGGAGGAGGAGAAGGAGAAGGACGGGGGAGGGAAGGGTGGATGATGAGGGGAGCAGGAGTACAGCGAGGATAAGGGCAAAGACACTTGCAAATTATGGGAGGGGTCGCAGGGCAAATCAAATTATATGGGTCATGGTTTTCTTTCCAGGGCACTTGAATCGTGTTCCTGGTGTTTTGGTCCTGGACGGGGTGGTGGAGGGGGGTGGGTCTGGCGGCCAGGCGGGGTGGTGGAGGGGGGGGGGGGCTGGCCTGGCCTGGCCTGGCCGGGCCCGGGCCCGGGCCCGGGCGGCGGCGGCGCTGCCGCCGGCGGCGCTGCGGGCGCTGCCCCTGGGGCAAGGCGCGCTAGCGCGGGGGGGGGGGGGGGCTGCTCTTTCCCCTTCCTTTCTTTTTCCTCCTTATTATTATTCCCTGTCCTCCCGTTCCCCCTCCTGCTCCACCTACTCCTCCTGCTCGTGCATTCGCATCCTCCTTCTCGTGTCCCTCATTTTCATTCTCGTCATCCTCTGCCTCTTCGCCCTACTCGTTCCCTACTTAGGCTCTGCCTAGAAGGGTTCTTACCGTATAAGCTCAAGGGGCCCGGGGCCGGCCAGGGCCGGCCCGGATGGTTCCGCCGGCATCTGCCCCACAGTTCCCCCAGGATCCCCCGTTTTGCCTAGCCTAGCTTAGTTTAGTTTAGCTTAGTTTAGCTTAGCTTAGCTTAGCTTAGCTATGCTTAGCTTAGCTTATCCATGCTTGGCTTAGCATAGCTTAGCTTAGCTTGGCTTAGCTTAGCTTGGCTTAGCATAGTTTACCTTAGCTTAGCTTAGCGCAGCATAGCGCAACGCATCACTAGCACAGCACAGCACGGCATAGCATAGCCAAGCGTACTATAGCATGGCATTGCTTCGCATAACATCGCACATCGCAGTCTAGCATAGCATAGCATAGCATAGCGCATCATAGCACAACACAGCATAGCACAGCGCAGCGTAGCATAACATAACACATCATATCACATCATATCATAGCATAACGCAGCATACCATAGTAGCATAGCATAGTATAGCGCAGCATCGCATATCATATCATAGCATAGCCTAGCCTAGCACAGCATAGCGCAGCATAGCATAACATATCTTGGTTTACCTTAGCTTAGCTTAGCACAGCGCAGCATTAGCACAGCATTAGCATAGCATAGCATAGCCAAGCATAGCGTAGCATAGCAAACCATAACATAACATAGCAACTCATAGCATGCAAAGCAAAAGCAGCAATGGCGCGAAAATGTTTATGTATATGTAGATGAGGTGTAGATGTGGATGTAAGTGTAGATGTAGATGTGGATGTGGATGTAGATGTAGATGTGTATCTCGCTGTTGATGTCGATGAAAATGTAGATGCAGGTGTAGATGTTAATGTAGCTGTCGGTGTGGATGTAGATGTTGCTTGCCTAGATTCTCCAACCCCCAGGTAGGGTCGCACTGGGATAATTACCACATCCTGGGCATCCGGATATTGCTCCCATTAACCCCTCTCCTGAATGATATCCTCCCTCCTGAATGTCGTGCGCTGCCAATGCCGCTCCAGTTTATCCGTAGCCATTTGGGCTGAAGTGATTTAGGCGGCCCCTGCGCAACCTTTGCGCTTCCCATGGGGAAGGCTTGCAAGGCTGCCACGCGCGCTGCGCCCACCATCAAGGTGGGCAGCGCTTGCACGGGCTGGGCGTCGGAGGCGCAGGCGCTCCACTTCTTGGGGGCCCCATGCGTGCACGAGTTTGGGTGCGACATTGCTGCCGCCAGCCGCGCGTTTTGCACCGCCAACTTCGATTTCAAGCAGTGGTACTCAAACGTGTTCGACAAAGATTTCAAGGGTGCGACATCAGTTGACATATTCAGCGCTGGGTTCCCGTGCCAGCCGTACGCCGCCGACGGGGCGCGCAAGGGCTGCGACGACGAGAGGTCCCAAGTGATCGACCCCATCTTCCAGTACGTGAGGCGCCAGAGGCCTCGCGCAGTGATTCTCGAGAATGTGCCTGGCTTTTTGCACTCCACCCACCAGGCTGTTCGTGACAAAATTGAGCGCCATCTCAGGCGCTCCGGGTACGTTATCCACATGAGGGTATTGAACAGCATCAACTTTGGCGTTCCCCAGAACCGCTCGCGCGTGTACTACGTGTGCTTGCGTTCTGACATCAAGGGGAGCGACGCGTTTCAGTGGCCGAAGGAGTCTAAGCCGCCTGCTCTTTCGAGGTTCTTGGACAAGGGGGTTCCGTTGCCTACCACCGAGAGCTTGCGGTCCCGCATACGCGCGGCCACCAAGGCCATCAAGAAGCAGTGTCACATGGAGCCTGGCGACGCCCGCATCATCATTGATGCTGCGAACGGTCGTGGCCCACACTACATGGTTGGCATGTCCCCCACGATCACCAGGTCGCGCGGCTGCGACCCCAAGGCCTACGTGGACACCAAGACGATGAACTTCCTCAGCCTGGACAGCATCATTCGCCTGCAGGGCAGTGACCCTGCTGAATTCGACTTCTCGATGCTCACGCGCACTGCGGCCGGCGAGCTCGCCGGCAACGCCATGACGGTTTCAGTGATGAAGGCGTTGTTGCCCAATGTGATCAAGGCCATCCAGTAGTTGTTGGCCTGATGCTAATGTATGTGCAGTATAAGCGCCCTTGCGTTGGCTGTAGATCCTGGCTCTTTTAGCCGTCTGCTCGCCTCTCCCCCATTCGCCAGCCAACTCGCACCACCATCCCCCGCCGCATCGGAGGAATGGGGGAGGGGGGGGGGGAGAAAAGGGGGGGGGGGCAGGCGAGGGGGGAGGGGCCAGGGGACGAGGAATATGATTTGGATAAGGAGGAGGAAGAGGAGCATGAGCACGAGAAATAATCAGCCTCCTCACTTGCAGCTGGCTCGCTAACGGACGCGACAGCCCGCCGCCCTCGCTGCGTGCGTTCTTGCGCTTTTGCGCCCCAGGAAAGGAGAGTCTCAGACAAGACGACGACGACGACAACGACGTCGAGACGATGACGATGATGGCGACGATGATGAGGGCGATGATGACGACGACGATGGCGACGACGACGGTAGCGTTGGGCAACATCATCAGGGGACCATCTGATAAAGAATGCACAGAGAGATGGTTCAGACATCGTTGCAAAGCCAATTCTTGACGCTTCGCGTATCCCCACCAGCCCATCCATAATTGATTGCGAGGCATCTTGGAGGTTATCTTGAGCCAGGCTCGGCAAGAGGCTGTCGGAGGTTATCTTGAGCCATGCTCGTCTACGTTGGGCCATCTTGAGGCTGGCTTGAGGGTCTGACGGGGGCTATATTGAGCCATGCTTGGCTATCTTAGGCCATTCTGAAATCCATATCTGCGTATATTGGGTTCTCTTGAAGCCATTTTGGGCCAAGCAGGGCGGGGTGGAGGGTCTTTGGGGAGAGGCTGGGAGGTCTCTTGGGGTCATCTTGGGCCACGTGGCTCAAAAGGAGGAGGCCCCCCAATTAGCATCGCCCCCTCGGATGTTCTCAAACGGCATGTTGGGGCCCTCTTGGAGCGATCATGGTGGCCTCTTGGGCGATCTTGGGGCCGCATTCTGCATTTGTGGGCCCTTCTAGGGCATATGTTGGGTCAGCGTGGGGCCATGTTGAGGCTTCCAGAGCCTATCGGAAACGAAAAGGCGATAATACCAAAAACATGGATTTCCCCTCGGCTCTCAAATGGTTTTGCCATTTTGGAGGGCACCGTGGAGGGCTCAGAGGGCACTTGGATCCGTCTTGGGGCTGTCTTGGGGCTTCTTTGGGGGCATGTCCGGGCGCTACGTTGACCCATCTTGAAGTATCACGGGTCATCTTGGAGGCCATCTTGCGACTTTGAATGCCTCTTGGAGCCTGCTTGGGCCATCTCGGGACGCTAGGGGGGAGGGTAAGGGGTGGGGTAGAGAGAAGAAACACAACGTGTTATACCACCTAAGCCCAGTAGGCTGGCAGGATTGGAGCGCAGACATCGAAGGGGCGGGGGCCACATGATATAATATCATTATACACGCAACGCCCGCATAGGCGTAGCATTGCAAAGCATAGCGCGACCAGCGCAGCACGCCCAACATAGCAAGGCAACGCAAAGCAGCAGGATATGGGCAAACGCAACGTGTCACGTAACAGAAGCTGACATTACATGGCCTGACAGTCCACAATATTAGATATCGTTGTATGGCGTTGCATCGCATGGTGTAGCATTGTAGCGAGAGCCCACCGAAACATCTTTTCTCCACCCCTCCCTCTCTATTACCGGAGCCCTTTCGTTCCCGAGCAGGTGTTTCAGCTGCTTCCCGCGTTCTGCGCCAGGTTTCATCATGACGCCGCAGCGCCAGCCGCAACCATACCGCATGCAGGCCAACGCCGCGCGTGATGGCTTGGTCGAGGTCCCTCATTGGGTTGCCGAGGGTACGAGTGGAACCCATCGTGCAATTGCTCCGATTCAATGGGATCTCCAGCCCGCCATGACCCACCCATTATATAGGTGTGTGCACGTGACCCACATGGACCTCCACATGTACCGTGAGATCTTGTTCTGCAATTTGTGTGGCTGTTTCTGGCGCACTGGAGGGTTCCACACTGCTGGGCTGCGCCAGCCGTGCAGTCGCGTGCCGGTGAACAGCTACCGCTGGACCGGCCTTGTCGAGTCGTGGTCCTTTTCGTCGTCACCACTGTCCTCCTCGTCCTTTCCCTCCCACGTCGTCGGTGGTGCCCTCCTCCTTCTCCTCCTCCTCCCTCTCCTCCTTCTCCTTCTCCTCCTCCTCCTCCTCGTCCTCCTTATCCTCCTCCCACCGGGTGCTCTCCCTCGACTCATCATCCTGCTCTTCCTTCCCATCTTCATCTGTCCTCCTTCTCCTATTCCCCATCCTCCGCCCCCCCTTCCTCCCCCGAATCTGACGCAGGAGGGTATTGGAGCGCCTCGCGCGCGGGGAGAACCCGACTGGTGGCTCGTTGCCGCGGGACGAGGCAGCGCAGCAGCAGCAGCAGCAGCAGCAACGCGGTCAACAGCAGCATCAGCCTCCACAGTTCCAGCAGGCAAGCACCAGCGAGTCGGAGGAGAGTGAGCAGGAGCAGATCGCAATCGTGAGCCCGAGCCCGCCGCTGCGCACGCCTGAGTCGCGTGTGGGCCGGTACGCCGCAATCTTCGCCCACGGCAGCTCTCCTTCGTCCGCCTCGCCTGCCAACGTGCTGAGTGCTGCGACGATCCCCCTCGCTGGCGGCCGCTCGCATCTCGACCTCTCCTTGGGCCGACCAGGGAACAAGAACAAGCGTCCGCGGACGCCTTCAGATGATCAGGATTGATCCTGCAGCGCGTGGAAGGAATTGAATTAGGTAGGCATCGTTCTCAGTTCAGCACTGAATTCAGTGGAGCGCGACTTGGGTTTCTCGCCGTAGGCTGTTGGACAGATAGCATGTCGCGGTTAGCGCGACAGTGCCCGCCACCACCCGTTCGCCATTCAGAACAGTTTGCTCAATGAGCTTGTACATCATGCGAGTGCGAACGTCGTCATCATCACCATCATGATGGTTTGTGTCATCGCCGCCATCAGCGCAGAGCAAATGAGAAGGCAGACGTCGAAAGGGGCACGACTATGATACAGATGGGTGCGAGGATGAGGAGGAAGGAAGAGGGTGGCTCAGATCTTGAGGTGGTTCTTTCCCGGAAAGGGCGCCGGCCCAGGGTTCTCTTTTAGTAGGTAGACCTGTCCCCACTGCCTCAACTGAGGCGGGATGGCTGATTACTTCCCTGATAAATGTCGAGGTCGGGGGGGGGCGATTAATATTTGAGGATATCTCAGGCGAACAGCTCGTGTTTGAAATCCCGATCGATAATAAATCACAGGGCGAGGGCCACTCTTTCGCGCATTGAGGATGTCTCGAGCGTAACGATTGCTCCGCATAGTTGCCGAGGATGTCGCGAGCGAATCGCTTGTTTTGTAAAAAAACTTGAGGGATCTGGGCGCCCCAGATATATGCCTTCTCCAGGTGCACCCCGGCACGACCGCACCCCAGAACGAGCGACCGCGCCCCGGCACGACCCCGCCCCAGCACGACCCCACCCCAGCACGACCAAACCCCAGCACGACCACATCCCAGCACGACCCCACCCCATCAAGACCATCACCCAGCACGACCACACCCCAGCACGACCTCACCCCAGCACGACCACACCCCAGCACGACCGCGCCCCAACACGACCACGCCCCAGCACGACCACGCCCCATCACGACCACCCCCCAGCACGATTACCCCCCCCAGCACCACCACCCCCCAGCACGACCACCCCCTAACACGACCACACCCCAACATGGCTCTTCCCCAGCACGACCACACTGCCTTGGTTGAGTGTCGTGGGGTGTCTCGTGGACTGGTGCGGGGTGCCTCGTGGAATGTTTCCAGGAATACGTTGAAAACGGTCGCTGGTGTCTCGTGAATGTTTCGCGGGGTGTCTCATCGGAAGTGCCCGTCGCCCAATGCGGTGTCGCGAACATATTTCCATGCATGTGGTTATATATCACTTTCCAGGTTCATGGGTCTATCATGTTGATCCCCTTATGTTGTGCGCATCCCTCCCCGAACAAGGTCAGCGTGGGCCTGGCCCAGGGCGCGTTTCGAGGTTTGAGATGGACAACCAGGTTTTGTTATCCAGAGCGCCCATTATCATTACCAATTCCAAAGTCGATTTCTGATGAGAGCGATTGGGCCCTGGACCTTCGTTACCACTTAGAGATGTCGACGACGGGGGCCATCCACCACCCATGAAATAGGTGAATGGGGGAGGAGGAGGAGGAAGAGGAGGAGGGGGGAGAAGGGATGATGATGATGAGGAGGAGGAGGGAGGAAGATGAAGATGATGATGATGATGATGATGAGGAGGAGGAGGAGGAGGAGGAGGAGCAACGCTACTTACCCTCGCCTCTCGCCCCCCCTCCCGCCGTGGCAGGCGGCCTGCCGCTGCGCCCGGCGCTGCGGCTGCTGCAGGAGCTGCAGCCTGCGCCCGTGCCCGCGCGCGCCGCTTGCGTCTTCGCCGTCGTCGTCGCGTCAGCTATGATATGCTGTGCTGCGCTATGCGAAGCTGCGTTATGTCATGGTATGCTGTGCTATGCTATGCCAAAGCTCAGCGAAACTAAGATGAAGGTAAGCTAAGCGAAGATAAACCTGAGCTAAGATGAAGCTACGATAAGCTAAGATGAAATAAGCTAAAGGGGCCGGACTGTGGAAATCGCCCTGGGCAGTTCCCCCGGCATCCGCTCAGCGGTTCCCCCAGTTACGTTCTTAGCTTAGCGATGATTATTTCACCTTAGCTAACACTATTTCATCTTAGCTTAGCTTCATAGTAGCTTAGGTTTATATTACCTTAGTGCACCTTCATCTTAGCTTCGCTGAGCTTTTGCATAGCAGAGCACACCGTAGCAATGCATAGCGCGGCGCTGCATAGCGCAGCACAGCATATCATAGCATAGCCCAGCATCGCATAGCACAGCGCAGCATAGCATAGCATAGCTTAGCATAGCATAGCGCAGCACAGCACAGCACAGCGCAGCATAGCATAGCACAGCATATCATAGCATAGCAGCAAAGCAAAGCAAAGGCAAAACAACAGCAGCGGCAGCAAAGCACAATCAACGCAAAGCAACACAAATCATTATCACAGTGCGACCCTACCTCGGAGTTGGAGCCCCTAGGAAAGCAGCATTAGCAGTCACAGTGAAGCTAAGCTAAAGTTGAGCTAAAGCTAAGCTAGAGCTCAGCTAAAGATAAGCTAAAGCTAAGCTAAAACTAAGATAAGGCTAAAGCTAAAGCTAAAGCTAAAGCTAAGCTGAAGCTAAGCTAAAGCTAAGCCAAAAATGAGGTAAGCTAAGCTAGCGCTAAGCGAACGCTAAGTTTCACGCTACGCTAAAGCTAAGCTAAGGCTAAGTTAACGCTAAGCTAAAGTTAAGTTAAAACTAAGCTAAAGCTACAATAAAGCTAAGGTAAAGCTAAGCTAAAGCTAAGCTAAAGCTAAGCTAAAGCTATGCTAAAGCTAAGCTAAAGCTGAGCGACGCTAAAGCTAAGCTAAAGCTAAGCTAAAGCTAAGCTAAATCTGAGCCAACGCTAAGCTAACGTTAAATCTAAAGCTAAAGCTAAAGCTCCCTGGGGACTGGGGGGGCCGCTCCCAAGGGATGCTGCCCGGTCCTTTAAGCACACAGGGTAAGAACCCTTCTCGGCAGAGTTTAAGTCGGGAACAAAAAAACAAAGCAAAGCAAATACAAGGCGAGGAGCAATGCCTAGGGTGTTAGCTTAGCTTAGCTTAGCATAGCGCAGCGCTGCATTAACATATCATAGTATGGCATAACATAGCCAAGTATATCATAGCATAACATAGCATAGCGCAGCATAACATAGCACAGCATATCATATCATAGCATAGCGCAGCTTAGCATAGCATATCATACCATTACGCAGTATGGCACAGCGCAGCACGACATTTCATAACTTAGCATAGCATCGCATACCATAGCATAGCGCGATATATCATAACATATCATAACATAGCATAGCGCAGCATAGCATGGTATAGCAAAGCAAAGCATAGCATAGCAACTAATGCTGCTTTCTTAGGGGCTCCATCTTCTAGGTCGGGTCGCATTTGGGTAATTGGAGAACATTGGGAGTCCATGGGCGCCTGGGCTTCATCTACAGAGCAAAGGTTGCCTGGGCTTCATCTGCATCGCAAAGGTTGCCTGGTGATTCTTAGCGCCGGGGGCCTGGTGTAAGCTGGGCAATGTTCGGCTCCCTCTCACCCTCATCCTCGCCCCGCAGATCCCATGCCCTCTCTGCTCATCTGCGTATCCGCATCCTCTGCTCAATCAGTATTCCTCATGATCATCCTTCTCGTTTTCCTTCTCCTCAAGTTATCCTCCTGATCCGTCTCCCCCTTCTCCCCCGGCTGCGTCAGCCGTTTTGGCTCCAGTTGTTTCAGCGCCACCACATGGACGATTTCGTCCTGGATTGGGAGGCCCCCACCGCCACATATCATGCTGGCCCGTGGGTTCCACCGCCGCCGCCGGCGGCGGCGCCGGCGCTGCCGCGCCCCAGGGAGACCTCGTCGCACAAGGCTCCCAGGGACAAGCACGCCCGTGCAGTGCACAGCAGGAACGCGTCGACCTGGCGTTGTGCACTCCCGATATCTGATCGCAGGCCATGGCTGGGGTCGTGGCTTATCAGTGGGAAAAATCCTACATCTGGCTGCTGGGGCGTCGGTTGTAAGGTTTGCGCTGTGTTGAAGTTGCCGGGCGAGTACGCCACTTTCAGTGTCAGATCCCACGCTGGCATGGATATTCGCAAATTCAGAAAGCATGCAGAGTCCAAAGCGCACAGAGATGGTGTTTCCAAGGTCTTCAATATCGAGGGCGGCTCAACAGTGACAGCACCTTCTGTTGAGGCGTTCAAGCTGGCCCTCAAGAATCGCAGGGATGTTCGCCCATATTCAGACGGCAATGGATGCGATGCGAAGTCAGCTTGGAAGGCGAAGCGCATCGCCTGGTGCCTGTCTGAGGCGGTGCTGGATGGCGACAGAAAGTTTCTTGCAAGTTGCTCCTCCATTGCGATGCACCAGGACGTGAAGGCGCCGAGACTTCTCGTCAGGTTCAGTGCGTCATCATCGCGATGCGATCTGAGGAAGGGCGCCATGGGCTTGACATCGAACTTTGGGACCACATCGTTGGATATCCGCAGGGCAACGATCGATGTGATTCGCAACTTTTGCACGCCCAGGCTGAACCCGCCATTCGCACGTGGCGCCCGCCCTCAGATGGACGCAGCCATGTACAAGCACGTCACGTCCCACGTCCACCTGTTCGACGCAGATGGCGCGTCTGATGAACAGCGTGCTGGGAGGATCTTATCGTCTGAGACTGCTGGCGTTCCAGCTGTCCTGCCTAACGTGGATACGGTTGTTCGGGACAAGGCGCACGCCAGTCGCAGGCGATGCGCCCATAAAAAAAAGGGACAGGGATGAGGAGATGAGCAGAGTAGCGAAGAGGTGGAAGGGGGGAAGGGAGGATGAGATAAGGGGGGAGGAGGGCGGCAGGTGAGAAGGAGGAGGAGGAGGAGGAGAAGAAGGAGGAGAGGATGCCCCCCCCCCCCCTCGCACCCCAGGTTGACATCGAGGCCGTGGACTGCGGACGAGTATTTATCTGGGACGATGATTGCTCACATCACCGGCCAGGAGGCAATTGTCCACCTCATCCAGTACTCGCCCGACTTGTCCAGTATCTTTGACAAGAATGTGAAGGCGATTGTTGACGCGCCGTTCGGCGCTCGCCGCATCGTGAATTTGAGGCACGCGCAGCAGCGGTTCGATAGCTCATCGAAGCCGCTGGGTAGATTCATCTGGGCCGCTTCGCGCCATCCGCCGCCCTTTCTACTATCCCCCCCCCAGCCCCTCCCCCCCCCGAGAGCAAAGAGCCAGAGCAGAGAAAACAGCCAGAGCATGGGGGGGGATGGGGCGAAAGAGCCAGAGCAACGCACGGGCTAGGTGCTAAGCATAGCTTGGCAAAGTGGATTTTGTTCTTTGATGCAGTGTGGACGACTGCCATAGACATTACAGTCCGGCGAGCTGGGAAGGCTCCTGGGAAGATCGCAAAGAACTTTTTGCTGACTGTCACTGCCGAGCAAGTGCTGCAAATTGCTATGCTGGCCGACGCGGGCCACGAGTCTCTCCGAATCACACGAATGCACGACTCAGAGAATTACGACGTTGCCGAGATGAGTGAGATGCTTGCAGACTTCATCCATCGCATCGACTACTTGTTCGTTAAAGGGTCTGCAATCGGACCGTGGCAAGGAGGAATGAAAAGAGGAAGAGAAGGAGAAGGAGGAGGAGGAGAAGGAGGAGGAGAAGGAGGACGAGGAACAAAGGAGAGGAGGAGGAGGAGAAGGAGGAGGAGTCAGAGGGGGGACAAGGGAGGAATAAGGAGGATATGTAAGGATGTAGAGAGGAGGGGGAGGAGGGAGGGGGGGGGAAGGAGGAGGGTGCGCCTCTAGCTGTGAGGATGTGGCTTCACGCAGTACGCCATTCAGCTTCTTTCCGTCCAGCGCTGCGCCAACGTCGGGACAGGCACTCGTGTGATAGGCGGCCCCGCGCAGCTCGACCAGGTCACTATTTCCAGGTGTTTGAAGCGCATGGCGAACTGGGTCATGCTGACCATACAGTCGCTCCACGCAGAGTTCCCTGCGTGGGAACTGCTCCAGGCCTTCAAAGTGTTCAACTTGAACAATGGTTATAGTTTGCTGCGCGAGCACGACATCGCTGTGATGCGCCTCGCCAAGGTCTTCAACGTCGATGCGAAGAAGCTGCGTGAGCAGATGGATGACGCCCGCCAGTACGCCATGCGAGTGCACAAGGACCAGAGCACCAAGGAGAGCAGTTACCATGCATGGGCAGCGGCGCTCAAGAAGATGTGTGACAGGCGCATGGCGCTACATCATGCTACTGATGCGCTGCAGGTGGTCTTGGTCAGATACGTGGCGTTCTGCGGGTGCACTACTGGCGGCGTGGAGCGTGGCCTGGGGGCGCTCACGCGCCTGCTCGGCAAGCATCGCCTTCTTCTTGACGACCGGGCTCAGCTTGGGGAGATCAAGCTCATGACACACCTGGATGACCAGGAGGTCGATGGCATCATCACCAACGCCCAGGCCATTTGGCGAGAGGTGTTCGGCTCAACGCGCACATCCACACCATCAAAGTTCACTGGGAGACGGAGAGCCAAGGACCGCCTCCTCTTGCTCATCATCCTCATCCCCCGTCCTTCTCCAATAACATTATCATCCTCGTGGTCTTCGTCCTCCTCCCCTTCTCAATCATGCCTCTCACGTTGTCCTCATCTTTCTCCTCGCCATCCGTCTTATCCTCCGTGTCTTCCTTATCCCCCTTCATCCACCGTCCTCCTCCTCCTTACCCTCCTCCACCTCCCTCCCCAGGACAGCAGTGCTGGCGCGGAAGCTGCCTGGCTGCGCCGCCGGGAGGCTGCCGTCGCTGCCGGCGCCAAGTCTGCCCCCAAGCGCAAATGGGTAGATATCAAAAGTGAGGCGTCGCACATCGGAACAGATGAGAGAGGGGCTGGGATTGATGTTGAACATGACAAGTTGAGGATCAAATCACGAATCAGGATGATTGAGGCTGCTGAGAAGGGACATTTATTGCCGTCTGAATTAGATGATAGTATTCCAGTGGAGCTTGGTGTGATGTTGAAAGCCAGACAGAAGAATGATCGGGAGCTGCAGAGGGAAGACATGAAGAAACTTCTCGCTAGCACCCCGGCCCAGCGAGTCCATTTGACCAATGCCAAAGTGTTTGTCAGCCCAAATCTGTTGCGCTCACGCGTTACCTGCATGTCACACGTGAGCGAAGAATGAAGAGGGTGAGGGGGGGGGATGAATATGACAATGCTGATATGTGAGACAGAGGAGGGAAGATGAGATGGGGAGGACGAGGGGGGGGAGACGAGAAGGAAGAAGGGGATGGGGAGGAGGAGGAGGAGGTGGAGGAGGAGGAGGAGGGGCCTGGCACCCTCCCCCCCCATGACCCCATCCCCGCACAACAACTGGCACAGACACAGTCGGCTCACGCGCTGGCCTGTTACAGGATCGTGGATCTGCCACAAGATGCAAGACTCACAAATGCTATTGCTTCGAATGCAATGACCAGGGTCGACAACAGGGTGCATGCTGATATTTTCGTCGTAAAGGATATCTCATCTCCGGGCCAGCGCACGAATATTGTCACATGCCTCCTGGGTGGTCGTCTGTGCACTCCAGATCTCATCCTGAAGAACGGCTTGGGCGCTGCCAGCATCGTTCGCAAGGCTGGCGTGACGACGAAGCGATTTCTGTGGATCAGCCACAGCTTCGCTGCGTGTCAATCCCCTCGCCGACCCCCCCCCCCGGGCCCCCCCTCCAGTTGTCAACTCTAGATTCAGTGATGAGGGGGGGGGGAAGGAGACGGGGGGTAGAATGGGGGAGAAAAGGAAAAGAGGAAGAGGGGCGGGAGAAGGAAGCGGGGAATGAGAAGAGGGATGATGACGAGCCTGGGTAAGGTGGGAGGGGGATACTGATTTACATACATATATATATTGATATATCTATGTATATATACATATATTTGTATACACATTTATATATATTTATATATATGTAAATACATATATATATGTGTGAATATGTATATATATATATATGTTTATACATATGTGTGTATATATATATACATATGTATATTGCGCTGCAGACTCAGAGAGAACGTCCGTCGGATCACACATGCGTTTTCATTGTACCACGTTGAGATCAGCAAGCTTGTGCGAGAGATTTCTACCCATCCGAGTAGCAAGTGGAAGTTGTTGTCCACTGAGCGCGAGTTCCTGAGCAAATACATTGGGGTGACATCGGGCCCAGCGGCGCAACATCGTCCACGAGACGTCATCGTGCTGTGCCGGGCCATTGAGAAGGTGCAGGCACTCGTCTCCGTGATCAATGGGGGGTCATTGGGGGATTGGGGGATTGTGTCATGGGGGTGCACCCTCGTTGTCACGGCTGGATCCAGGTCGAATGTGCGCGGCCCTGGGAGATCCAGGGACATGTATCTTGGCGGCGTCGGTTTGTGCACTTTCTCCCCTTCATCAGTCTCCTCATCATTATCATTCCCCTCTTCCCACGTATGGCCCGCCTGATGTCCTCACTCGTTTTCGCTCTATCCTCCTCCCTCTCGTGATCTCTCGCTCCCTTGCGATCTCTTTATCTGGCTATCTCTCTCTATATCTATCTCTCTTTCGCTCTTTCACTATCTCGCTATGTCACTCGATCTCGTTTTACTCCTCCTGTTGCTAGCTTCGTCTCATCATCGTTATGTGTATCCTTATCACGTTCGCTCTGAGTCTGTCTCCCTCCCCCGCTCTCGGTGTGTTTGTTGTGTGTGTCTCTCTCCACGTGCCTCTGTCTCTCTCTCTCTCTCTCTCTCTCTCTCTCTCTCTCTCTCTCTCTCTCTCTCTCTTTTTCTCTCTCACTAGTTCTCTCTATCGATCCCCTCCTACCTCATCGCCCTCCTCCAACCCTCCATTCTCCTACAGGCGGCTTGGGGTGAGCTGCCGAGTGTCATGACGCTCTCGCAATTCACACAGTGGGTGTCGAGGAGTGATGCCGTTGCTTCCACTGCAGGCGCTTGTGGTAGATGGCTGGACTGCTGGTGAGACCGGGGTCGCTCGTCGGCGCAACGATCTTCCCTCGCATCTGATTGGAAGGGTGATTATGATAATACGTGGTGGTGACGGTGTGAGGATGGCATGAGTGGGTTTAATCATATAGCAGACCAAGGCACGGCTGAGGAAGGAGAGGTAGACAGAGATGAACATGCGAAACATAGATGAGAAGGTTGATGAGGAGCAGGGATAGGAGGGGGAAGGAGGAGGAAGCGAACGATGAGAATGAGCATGAGGAAGAGGAGGGGGAGGAGGATAAGGAGGAGGAGGAGGAGGAGGATGAGGAGGGCTGCGTCTCGATATATCCCTCCCCCAGTCACCCCTGCGCCCCCCCGCCAGGCTCTGGTGGCCTGGCAGCCGCCCGAGCTGCAGCAGGCGCCGCCGGGCCTGCTTGCCGCGCGCGAGCGGTGGCAGTCGTCGCCAGCGTGGCCGGATCGTAGTCGTGTCGCGTCGACGACGCCAGGGCGATGGTGCCAACCCTGAGGCCAATGTTACCCTCAGTCGGGGACGCCCCCGTCCCCGACTGAGGGCAGTCGGGGATGTCCCTCAGTCGGGGACGTCCCCGACTGAGGGTGGGCGCCCCCGTCTGAGGGGCCCTCAGTCGGGGACGTCCCCGACTGAGGAGCCCTCAGTCGGGGACGTCCCCGACTGAGGAACTCGAAATGGTTCAGGGGCGGCGCGGCTCACCCACGACCGCTCTAATTAAAGGACATCGTGTTCCAAGCAGCGGGGTAAATTACCCCGCTGCTTCGAACAGTCGGGGACGTCCCCGACTGTGCGAAGGCTATGGGTAACGCAAGTTTCGGACTGTTCCAACGGGAGGGGTAATTTACCCCTCCCGTTGGAACAGTCCGAAACTTGCGTTACCCATAGCCTTCGCACAGTCGGGGACGTCCCCGACTGTTCGAAGCAGCGGGGTAATTTACCCCGCAGCTTGGAACAGTAGGCCGTTGCCCGGAGCATCACATGATTACGGATCTCTCTTGGTAAGATGTTCACTGGAAACGTCTCTGGCCCTCAGTCGGGGACGTCCCCGACTGAACAATGCCAGTCGTATGGGTCACATCCCTCAATTGGGGGCGTCCCCGACAGGGCACTGACTGACATGAGGGTAAGCCTCCTCAGTCGGGGACGTCCCCTTGATCAATGCCAGCTCACATGGGCGTCGTCATCGTTTTCGCTTCGTCCTGGTCGTCGGTCGTCGCAGTCGTCGCTGTTCGTCGCCGCTCCTTACGTTCCGTCAGCATCGTCGCCACTGGTCGTCCGCGTCAGCAAATGTCGTATTCGTCGTCGCCGTCGTACCTTGATCAGCCCGCGTGCCTTCCCTCTGGTGTGTCCTACTGGGCGTTTGTGCATGCGTTGGGTTGGCATGTTCTATATCTTACTTAGATCTCATTTCTCAGTTCGAAGTTTTATCCTCGTTTTGCTCGGGACGAGGGGGGGGGCGCCTTGTGTGTCGGCCTGCCTGGGCTGCCCACCCACGCTGCGAGTTGGCGCGCCGTCGTCAGCGTTGACAATCAGAGGGGGGATGGGTCAGACAGGAGGGGGGGGGGGGCAGAGAGGTTTGGTAAATTCCAGGCTGGCGTCGAAACAAATGGTCTGATATCACGTTGCACGTGCAAGCGTTGCTGTTTTCCGAGAAGGGCGCCGGCCCAGGGCTCGCTTTTAGTTGGTAAACCAATCCCCGCTGCCCGAGGTGGGCCGGCGGATTCTTTCCCTGATGAACTACCCCAGTGTGACCATGCTTAGAAGTTGGGGCCCCCAGGAAAGCAGCATTAGTTGCTATGCCATGCCATGCCATGCCATGCCATGATGTGCTGCGCTATGGTACGCTGTGATATGCTATGCTGCGCTATGCTATGCTAAGCAAAGCTATGCTATGTCATACTGTGCTGTGCGATGCTGCGGTATGCTATGCTACGCTGCGCTATGCTATGCTATGATATGCTATGATATGCTCTGGTATGTTGCGCTATGCTATGCGATGATATAGTTGGCAATACATGTTATGCGATGTTATGCTAATACAGCGCTGCGCTATGCTAAGCTAAACTAATTTAAGCTAAACTTAGCTAGCCTTCTAGGCATTGCCCTGTGCTTTGCCTTTCCCTTGCGTTGCAGTTGTTTGTGTCTTGCGTTGCTTTGCGTTGCTTGTGCTTTGACTTGCTGTCGCTGATGTTGGTTTGCCTTTGCGTTGCTGCTATGCTGTGCAATGCTATGCTATGGTGTGATGTGCTGTGCTGTGCTATGATATGCGATGCTGCGCTATGCTATGCGATGCTGGGCGATGATTTGATATGATGCACTGCGCTATGCTAAGCTACGCTATGCTATGCTACGCTGTGCTCTGCTATGCTAAAGCTCAGCGAAGCTACGATGACGGTAAGCTAATCTAAGATAAACCTGAGCTAAGATGAAATTAAGCTAAACTGGTATGAAAAATGCTAAGCTAAGACGAGATAGACAACGCTAAGCTAAGGGGAGGTAACTGGGGGACCCATGGTGCGGATGTTGGGGGAACCGCCCGGGGCGATTTCCATTGCCCAGCCCCTTTAAGCAACAAATATATCAAGAACCCTTCTAGGCATAGCCTAGGTATGGAAATATCGAGGTCGATCGCGGTGGGCCGCCGGATTAATATTTGAGGATGTCTCAGGCGAACCGCTTGTTGTTTTTGAACTCCCGATCGATAAAGCACATGGCGTGGGCCACTCTTTCGCGTGTTGAGGATGTCTCAAGCGAAACGCTTGCTCCGCTGAGTCACCGAGGATGTCTCGAGCGAATCGCTTGTTTTGTAGAACATGAGGTGTCTGTACACCCCTGAGATTTGCTTTCTCCAAGTGCACCCTAGCACGACCACACCCCAGCACGACCGCACCCCAGCACGACAGCGCCCCAGCACGACCCCACCCCAGTACGACCCCACCCTAGCACGACCAACCCCCAACACGACCACACCCCAGCATCATCCCACCCCAGCACGACCACCCTCCAGCACGACCACCCCCCAGCACGACCACCCCCAAACACGACCACACCACAGCACGACCACACCCCAGCACGACCACGCCCCAGCACGACCACGCCCCAGCATGACCACGCCCCAGCACGACCACCCCCCCGGCACGACTACCCCCAAGCACGACCACCCCCCATCACGACCACGCCCCAGCACGACCACACCCCAGCACGACCTTTCCCCAACACGACCACACCACCTTGGTTGAGTGGTTGCCTGTTGTCGTGGAATGTTTCGTGGGGTCTCTCGTGGACTGTTCTCGTGGAGTGTTTCCATGAAAACATTGAGAACGGTCGCCCGTGTCTCGTGGAATGTTTCGCGGAGTGTCTCGTGGAAGTGCCAGTTGCCCAATGCGGGGTCGTGAACCTTATGCATGAGGTTCTATATCCCTTTCCGGGTTCGTGGGTCCATCATGTTGGAACGATACCCCCTTGGAGCCCTTTCTTGGAACCACCCTGGCGCCCCCCTTCACACTGCCCTGGGAACACATTGTTGCCATCGCATTGCAGTTGCCCAGCCCAAGCGGTTCAGCTCGCCCCAGCCAACTTCAGAATTCCGGGTACCCTCGGCCTACCTACATCCGCCCAGAGATGGCCAAGCGTAGCGCGCCCAAGCCTGCTGCTGGCAAGGCCAAGGCTGTGCCCAAGCATGTCTCTGGCGGTGCTGCTCAGGCTCCAGAACATCGCGTCGTGCCGGCAAGCGGCGGGACCCAGGACAGCCAGAACACCAAGCTCCTCGCTGATGTGATGGAGGCGTTCCATTATCTCAATGGGCTCCCAGCTTTCAATGGAATGGTCAACGCTGCTCCACTTGGTCTTGGTGACGGGGGCCAGGTAGCCCCGTTCAATGATGATGTTGCCATTGGCGCGTTGAAGGGATCTGACACTTACATATGCGGTGGTAACTTGTGGTGGGTTGATTTGGCGTACAATGTGCAACCAGGTGTGCCAATCAGCCACAATTCCATTGAACTCATCAAGAACGAGATGTTCGGCGGCGGTCCGCCTCAGGTCTTCCCGCAGACTATCACTGTTGCCATCATGAGTAAGAGCGACCAGCTGTCGTCCGAATTTGGGCGGTTGGTCAGGGTCAGTCCCGAGGATCCATGACGTGCAAATTTGCGCCCTCCTCCTCAACCTCCCCATCAGTTTCTTCTTCGCCCCTCCTCCTCCTCACGTCGCCCCCCTCCCCCTACAGAGGGGCGGGGGCGGGTGGGAGTTAATGGGGGGGGATTGGGATGACGAGCATGAGAAGGAGGGAGGCGAGGACGAGGATGATGTTGAGGAGGATGATCAGGAGGAGGGAGAAGATAATAGTGACATTTTTGTTCTGACAACGCCAGGAGCTGATCTATGGATTCTACGTGGCTGCAGCGGCAGACATCAAGAACTTCGATGGTGATTCTGATCGTGCAGAGGCGTGGCGCCGGTGCGCGCTGACAGTTCCACTTGAGTTCGTCTACATTGAAAATGTTGACTTGCGCTACTGGGAAGCTGTGAATCTCCGGGAACGGCTGGGCACGACCTACGCGTCCATGTACCGCTCGGCAGGACACTCGTTTTTGCTGATGATGTTGACAACGACGACGCTGACAACGCTGGCATGTCGTAGGGGGTCCCAAGATCTGCTCGAAAACTCCGTGACACCTGGGGGCCTTGCGACAACCCCATGGGCCCGATGCGATTCGGGCATGGCCCCATGGGGGCGCCATCCCTCCCTCCGCCCCTCCCCCCTCCCTGCATTCCTTTCTGGGGCCTTATGTGCGGCCCCAAAAGAGGCTGCCTTCGGGGCGGCCTGGTGAGTTTCGGAGGCTGTCGAGATCATGAGGGCAGGTAAACGATGCATTCTCACAGTGCAGCGCGTGTTCGAGATCGCCGTGTGGAAGCAGGCCGAGGAGCGCCGGCTCAATTGCGAGATGTCTGCCAAGCACGCGGCAGCCGAGTGGGCGAAGAACGCCAAGGTCAGCAGCGCGGGCGAGCAGATCACCGAGGGGTTCGTGGATGCTGCGCTGACGGTTTTCTTTCGCATTCTTGTAGATGATGAGTGCAAGGCCATTATCATGGACGCTGAGAACACTTGGGGGAAGAAATCGCCATGGGACAGCGTCTACAAGCTCGAGGCAGTCGCCAAAAAGTGTGGTCAGGGCGAATCCTCGTTTCCGATTCTCCGGTGGGTGTTGCACGCGGTGTCAGACCAAGTTGTGAATGGCAACCACCCTGCGTCATCGTTCAGCGTGCGGGCGCTGAGTGGCAAGGGCGTGGCCAACAACAAAGGCTTGGTTGATTTGTTCAAGTGCAAGAAATTGATTTTGGTGCACTGCTTGTCCAGCATTTTGGGCACTCTTGGTTGGAGCCCCAGTGAGAAGGAGGACGTTGCCTCGTATTTGCAGTCCCATGCGTCATATCGGGCCAATTTTGGGTACGACGCCAATCCCACCAGCCGGGTGTGGCTCCACAAGCACAAAGCTCCGCTGCAGGATTTGATCAAGCTGTTCGCTGAGCTGGTATATGGCGTGGAGCACGACGGTGCGATCAAGAACGCTTGCCGCTTCGGGAGTGCCATGGATGAGCTCTTTGAGAGGCAGGAGCTGAAGGATAAGCTCGAGAAGTTGATCGAGCAGTCGCACGCCCACCTCGGCACTGTGCCGGAGTCGTCCCGCGTGGTGCCAGAAGAGATTCCTGCCGACGCCGCTGCGCACTCAGTGGCCATGGGGTTCTCCCTCCCGCAGGGCTCATCTGGCACTCTGGCAGAGCGTTTGGACGCGCAGACCGACAGCATGAGGGAGGTCCTTGAGAAGAAGTGGAAAATGTTTGAGAAGCTGAACTCCCTGGACGACCAGTCGAAGGAGACCCTCGAGGACTTGGAGAAGTCAGCCCGTCAGAAGGTGGCGGACCACGTGAGTCTCGTGCTCGAGGGCTCGTCGGCGCAGGCCATGGCCAAGCTGTTCAGCGACACATTTGTGGGTGGCCTCCGGGGGGGCGACGCTAAGAAGGTGCTCATCGTGTACGATAACAAGCAGGCGGGCGAGTCAGCCACGTTTCCCCACATCCGCTTGCCGTCGTTCAAGACGGACCGCCTCAAGAAGATGATACCACAGCCTGCGGCTGATCCGCCTGTCCCTCCAGGTTTTGAGCCAATGCGTAGGCGAATAGTTTGAGCCGCATCTGAGGAGAGCAAGGTAGGATAATCTGGGAGGGAGGATGAGCTACATAGGGTGAAGAAGATGTGCACATGATTTCAGACCTGACCTCGATGGACAAGGGATGAGGAAGAGAGGGGATGGCATAATAACAGTGAAATTGCATATGGGGCGGGGTGCGTGTGTGTGGGAGAATATGGTATGGTTGCACATCCAGGATGTAGAACGAGATGCGAAGCTCTTCTCATGTCATACGCCCGTGCCCTCCTCCTCCTCCTCCTCCTCCTCCTTCCCCTCCTCATCTGGTCTTCATTCTCATCTCATATCCTCTCATCCCTGCTCCCCTTGCGTTGTTCCTGAACGTGCCCTTGCATTCTTCTGCACTGACCCCCCCCCCCCCCCCTCAAACCGAGATAATGCAAGCCTGATTCCACGCGCCCCACTTGACCTGCGCAGGTCGGTGGATCCAGGGACTTGCAGCTACTCGCCCATGTGGGCCGGACAAGCTGCACGAGGGAGACATCTGGCTGGTGTTTGATGGAGGGGTTTCTGGAAACCGCTCGGTCATTCTGAATTGCTTCATGGACACCGAGGGGAGGATGATGCCGAAATCTGTGAAGAACTTGCACATCCACTACTCCGAGAGTGCAATGGAATCGAGATATGCACGTCTGCGGGACCAGGGGGGACACTGAAGATGAGGGGGGTGTCCGACGAGGTGGCCCCCGGTAAATGCGATCCCCCCCATGTTTTGCCCAGGACATTGAGAATCTGACCGCCCGAGGGCCCACGAGGGGAAGGGATATGATGAGGATAGGGGGGAGGTAGAGGAGGGGGAGGAGACAGGGGCACAGGAGGCGGTGGAGAAGGATGATCATATCGTACTGTATGATGTTTCCCAGGACAACGTGAGCCTCGATCAACTTGAAACTGTTTTTGTTGCGACTGGCGAGCCCTGGATGCCGCAGAAAAAGCCGAGGAAGCATTTCGAGAGCTGCACGACGGCAGGGACCATCATAGGTCCTGTGGGGGTCCCCACGGCGGATACTCAGTGGTTGATGACCCTCGGCGAGAAGAAACTTCTATATGGATCCATGATGATGGAAGTCGGTGGGAAGACCCCAGACATGGAGGTTGGGAGCGTGAAGAAGCGGAAGCGCCACGAGGCCGAGTACGAACCTGTGACTTTCCATTCGATGCTGGATATCATTCCAGCGGAGCTGCTTCACAGCTATCTTATGGTTTTGCCAAGCCGACTGTCCCCCACTGGATCATCCCTCCTCCTCCGCGTCGTCAACCTCGTTATCCCCCTCCTCCTCCTTCTCCTCCTCTTCCTCCTTCTCCTCCTCCTCCCTGCCGCCCCAGCCTTCTTATCCCAGCCCCCCCCTCGCCGGCCCTCCTCTTCCACTCGCTCCCTTCTCCCAGTCCTTTCCCCTCGTCGTTCCTGCTGTTCCTTGTCCTCCTGCCCTCCCCCTCCTGCTCCTCCCCCCTGCCCTCTCTTGCCCTGGGGGCCGGCGCAGGCTGCGCGGCGCTGCGCGCCGGCGCCGCGTGGGCGTCGGCTGGCGCTGCCTGGCCGATGACGAGGATGGAGAGAGGAGCAGAGGTTTGAGAGCAAAATCCCTACCTAGGATCTGTCTAGAAGGGTTCTTACTTTATGCTTTTAAAGGGGTCGGGCAGTGGGGCTCGCCCTGGGCGGTTCCCCCGGCATCCGTCCCGTGGTTCCCCCAGTTATGTCCCCCTAGCTTAGCGTTGCTTATCTCACAATAGCTAAGCCTAGTTAGACTTCGCTTAGCTTAGCTTATCTTAGCCTAGCCTAGCTTAGCTTAGCTTAGCTTACCCTAACCTAGCTTCGCTTAACTTAGCTTAGCTCAGCTTAGTATAGCACAACATTCGCATAGCATAACATAGCATAGCATAGCGTAGCATAGCGCATTATAGCATAGCGCCCCGCATATCATAGCGCAACATAGCATAGCATAATATAGCATAGCATAGTGTAGCATAGCGCAGCATATCATAGGATATCATAGCATGGTTGAGCGCAGCGCAGCACAGCCTAACCTATCATAGCATAATATCGCGTATCATACCATAACATAGCATAGCACAGCATATCATAACATATCATATCATAGATCAGCATATCATCGCATAGTGTAGCAGTTTGCATCATATCATAACATAGCATGTCATACCATATCATAGTGCATCATAACATCTCATAACATACCTAGCATATCATAGCATAGCGCAGCGTAGCATATCATAGCATATCATAAAACACCAAATCATATCATAGCATATCATAGCATGGTATAGCGCAACATCGTATAGCATAGCATAGCCTGGTATAACATAGCGCAGCCTGGCATACCCTCGCATATCATCGCATAGCGCAGCACAGCGCAGCATAGCGCAGCATACCATATCATAGCATAGCTTAGCATAGCGCAGCATATCATAGCATATCATAGCATCAATACAAAGGCAAACCAACAGCAGCAGCAACGCAAAGCACAACAAGCGCAACTTGAAGCACCGCAAACGCAAAACGCAAAGCAAAGGAAATGCACAGCAAACGCAATGTGCGACAGGTGCTGAGCTATATGCTCCAACTCCTAGGTAGGGTCGCGCTGTGATAATTAATGGTTGACGCTTCGCGTATCCCCAACAGCCCATCAAGAATGTGTTGCCAGTTTTCTTGAGGCCTCTTTGGGGGATATATTGAGCAATGTTTGGCTATTGGCTGAGGCTATCTTGAGCCATGCTCGGCCATCTGGGGCAATTTTGATGCTGCCTTGAGGCATTTGGGAGGTCTGTTGGAGAATATATTGAGCCATGCTTGGCTATCTTAGGCAATTTTGAAAAATATAGTTTTCATATCTAGGGCCACCTTGGCGCCATATTGGGACAAACAGGGCAGGGTGGATGGTCTTTGGAGAGAGAATGGGAGGCCTGTTGGGGTCATCGTGGACCCCATAGCCCAAAAAGAGGGGAGCCCACAATAGCATCGCCCCCTTGGAGGCTCTCAAATGGCATCGTGGGGCCCTCTTGGAGCGCTCTAGGGCGCCTTGGGCGATCTTGGGGCCGTATTCGGCTTTCTTAGGGGCCCTCTTGGGCATCTTTTAGGCCATCTTGGGGCCGTCTTGATGCGCCCAAAGCCCATCGTACGCGAATATACGATATCATTGATTTTCTGTAAGCTTTTGAAGGGGTTGGGCATCTTGGAGGGCGCTGTGGAGGACTCCTAGGGCACTTGGGTCGTTTTGGGGCTGTCTTGGAGCCTCTTGGGGGTATGTCAGAGGCTATCTTGACGCATCTTGAAGTAGCATGGGCCATCTTGGAGGCCATCTTGCGACTTTGAAGCCCTCTTTGAGCCTTCCTGGGCCATCTTGGACGCTGCGGCACTTCCGCCCCCCCCGAAGACCGGGGGGGGGAGGTGGGGCCCCGGGGGGATGGGTAGAGAGAAGAAAGAAACGCGCCATCCCACCTAAGCCCGGAGGGCTGGTGGGATTGGGGCCGGGCGCCTCCATGAGGCTGGCGTACCCATGCAAAGCTGTGATCGACCTGTGCCCTGCAAGCCCAGAGTGGGCGTTGAAGTGCATTGAGCTCGGGATCCCATACCTTGGAGTGTGCTACACTGAGCACCACGTGAGCATGTACAACAACATCCTGGCGCACCGGGTGTTTCTGTGGTTCACAGAGGAGTCGCATTCCTTCTACAACACGAAGGCCGCGGCCCTCATCAAGGGCAACTCCAAGAAGAAGGGCGAGGGCCATGGCGACGGCGAGGAGGAGCCTGAGGAGGAGGATCCGGACCCAGACGCAGAGGAGCCTGGCCCCAGCGGCAAGAAGACTGGCAACAAGACGGGCAGCGGCCGCAAGGGCAAGGCGAGCAAGCAGGGCACCGGCAGCAAGGGCGACACGGAGCGCGAGGATCTCATGCGCCGCCTCGAGGAGCTCGGGGGCGAGTCCCCCCCGGACAGCGCTGGTGAGGAAGAGTAGGTAGGCACAGGTGCCCGTGCGCTGCAGCAAATGCGAGGGGGATAAGGGGGAGGATCAGGATGAGAATGGAAGATGAGGCGGAAGATAACGAGAAAGAGGAGGATAATGAGAGGGGAGATGATGATGACAGGGGGAATGTAGATGAGGAGAAGGAAGAGTACGATGAGGACGACCGACACATTTCTGCAGCGAGATGAATTCAGCACGCGAACCAGCTATCTTGTCAAAAGTTTGAAGCATGCCGTGGCGGTTTTCATGCCACCATATCCCAACTCCCCCTGCTCCTCCTGCTCCTCCTGCTCATCCTCCTCCTTCATCTTTTTCCATCCCTTCTCGGCCTTCCCGGCCTGCTCGTCCTTGTCCCTTCCCCAGCACACCTTTGCATTTTCCATTTGAATAGGCTCCTGTGGGAGCCCTGAGTCTCTTGTGCAGACCCCCCAGAGGTATTGCGCTGTAGGTTCCGCACCCTTTTGCCGGGCTTTGGCCTGTTGCCTCAGTGCGATGATTTATAGATATCGTCATGTTGCCAGGGTTCTCAAGAATTGCTTGTGGCAGCCTGCATGACACAGCTCGTTTCGCGTGCACGCTAGGTCCCTTGAGTATTTCGTCTGACGACGCTTGCGCCCGTGGAAATGTCACCGTGTTTGGGCCTTAGTATGCCACGTTGCACCTTGCATCTCTTGGGAGTGCATGGCATAATATACATACGATTGCGCATCAAACCACGCCACATCATGCCGCAGTAAATCAGAGCATCGCATAGTACGCAATATTCTACACAGCAAAGCATTGCATAGCATAGCGCGCTACATTGCTCTGGGTCTGAACCAACATCTATTCAACAACATGCGACGACCCGTAAACCTTAGGAAACAGACAAGGTATAGGATGATGAAGGAAGGAATCGTAGGATAACAGTGTCGACAACGAAACTCACGACCCCCCCCCTTCACCCCACCATGCCCCTCCAGGCAACGCTGTCATCATCGTTTGTCGTTGGCAGTTTGATATTTGCTTGAATTGCAGTGGTCACCATGCGTAGCCTGTCTGGCCCAAGATTGAGCACGCGTGTGATGGGATTTTCTGCTTACAGGATTTGGCTTACTTCGAATGGGGAAATGTCGCAAGTCAGAGCAGGAGCGGTTGCGCAACCTCAGCATCTCAGAACTGCAAGCACTGGTGAGGCGTCGTGAGGACAGGCTTCGACAACAGAGAGCGTCGTCTTCTACTCCGGGTGCCCAACCTGCGTCCAGCAGGGATCTCACCATAGGCAGTGCGTTTACTGGATGGGCGGCTGAAGCGCAGGCGCTCAAACAGCTCCAGGCCCCTTGCGTGCATGAGTTTGGATGCGACAAATTGACAGCCAGCCACAGGTTTTGCACCGCCAACTTCCATTACAAGAAGTGGTTCTCGAATGTGTTCGAAGATTTCAAGGGCGCAGTATCAGTTGACATCTTCTGCGCTGGATTCCCGTGCCAGCCGCACTCGCAGGATGGGCGGCGCGAGGGGGGGCATGACAGCAGATCCAACGTGTTGATCCCAGTTCTCGAGTACATCCGGACACGTCGTCCTCGTACTTGTGTCCTGGAAAACGTCAAGGGGTTCATGACAGATACCTTCCAGGACATCCGCCAGGCCATGGTGGTAACCATCGAGAAGGCTGGGTATCACGTTCACATGAAGGTCTTGGACAGCCTCAACTACGGCGTGCCCCAACATCGCGAACGTGTGTACATCGTGTGCTTGCGTTCTGACCTCCCTAGGTGCGACGCGTTCGAGTGGCCAGAGGAGCTCCGGACGCCACCTCTGCGATCGTTCTTAGAAAGGGGGGTGCGAGTGCGCATCACGAAGCCCACCCAGGAGCGCATCAAGCGTGCCATCGAGAAGCTCGTCACAGACCAGCCGAACGTGAACGCGCGTGCTACTGACGTCATTGTGGATGCGCAGAATGGCCGCACGAAGCCGGTGTACATGGTCGGGGCTTGCCCGACGATAACGAGAAGTAGGGGCGGGTGCGTCAGGGGCGACATGAACGTGCGGACCATGGCGTTCCTCAGCATCAGGAGCATCGTTCGCCTGCAGGGCAGCAACATGAGTGAATTCGACTTCAGTGGCCTCTCGCGTGCGCAGATTGGCCACTTGGCAGGCAACGCCATGACGGTGTCAGTGATGAGGGCACTTTTGCCCAAGGTGATTCAGGCGCAGGCTCACTAGAGAGACGTGCGCTGTGCATGTGGCAGAAAAAAAGTGCCCTCCGCATTTCCTCCACCCATGGTCTTCTTCCTCCTCCTCCCCCTGTTCTTCCTTTCTCATTTTGCTCCTCCTTGTCCTCGCCATTCTCCCCGTCCTAGCCCTTGTCTCTGTGTTTCTCCTTCTCCCCCCCCCCCTTTTCGCCTTGTCCTTTCCTACTTCGTGCCCCTCCGCCTCAGAGCCCCCCCCCTCCCCGGAGCCTGCGGGGCGCTGGCGCCGGGCCGCCGGGCAGAGGCCTGTCGGCGGGCCGGGGGGGGAGCCAGCGTCGGCCGAATGGCCCTACCCCAGTGCGACCCTATCTAGGAGTCGGATCCCCTAGGAAAGCAGCATTAGTAGTAACAGTAAAGCTAAGCTAAAGCTAAGCGAAAGCTAAGCTAAAGCTAAACTAAAACTAAGCTAAAGCTACGCTAAAGCTACGCTAACGCTAAGCTAAAGCTAAAGCTAAAGCTAAGTTTAAGCTAGAGCTAAACCTAAACTAAATCTAAGCTACAATTAAACTAAATCCAAGTTTGAGCTAAGCTAAAGCTAACGCTAAGCTAACGCTAAACTAATGCTAAGCTAATGCCAAGCTAGCGCTAAGCTAAAGCTAAGCTCAATCTAAGCTAACCCTAAGCTAAAGCTAAGCTCGATCTAAGCTAAGGTAAGCTAAATATAATATACATCTGAATTCAAGCTAAGCTAAAGCTAAGGTAAAGCAAAGCTAACGCTAAGCTACAGCTAAGCTAAACTTAGTCCAAAGCTAAACTACAGCTAAGCTATAGCTCAGCTAAAGCTAAGCTAAAGCCCAGCTAAAGCTCAGCTAAAGCTAAGCTAAAGCTAAGCTAAAGCTAAGCTGAAGCTAAGCTAAAGCTAAGCTAGAAACTAAGCTAAAGCGAAGCTAACGCTAAAGCTAAGGCCAGCTGAAGCTCCCAGGGGACTGGGGGAATCGCTCCCAGGTGATGCCGGGGGAACCGCCCAAGGCGGGGTCCACTGCCTGGCCCTTCAAGCATACAGGGTAAGAACCCTTCTAGGCAAAGCCTATGTATGGAATAAGGAAAGAAATGGAAGGAGAGGGGAATGGGGAAATGAGAGTGACAAACACGATCAGCGGGTGAAGGGGCGAGGCGACGAGGGGGGCGGCGACAGGGAGAAATACGCAGAAGAGGGAGAGAGTGTGAGAGAGAGAGAGAGCAAACAAAAGAAAGAACAATAGAGAGAGATAGACTCAACAAGCAGAAATAATGTATAGGACAAGGGTTAGACATAGCATCCAGAGGGCGTGGCGATGGGTCTTGGGGGGAGCTGTGACAACCCAAGCCGTGCCCTGATACCGAACCAATCGACGAAGATAATGCGTTCTGACCACGTATGCGCTGTGCAAGCCATGGCGACGATGCATCGCGAACGAATCCTAAGTCCAGCTTCGCACTGAAAACTCCAGGGGGGCACGTGGTTTCAAAACGGTTTAGCGCCCCAAATACCCCAACATTCTAAACAACACCCAGATAAACACCCCAGCGCCCGTAGCCATTTATTGGCTCAAGTTGTTCTGGCTTTGCTTTCGCGCGAGACCGCTCTTTGCAGAGATGCCAGACGCTTCCACGCAGGTTTCACCAGAGGACTTCGCAAACCTGCGAAGTGCGATTCGTGGGACCGCAGGCGCTCCAGCACCGCCGGCAGCGCAGGACTCGGACCCAGCAGCACCGGGACCAGCAACGCTAGGGCCAGCAGCAGCTGCAGCAGCAGCACCAGCTCATGCACCAGCAGGGCCACCGCCGTCTCTCTTCTTGGGGGCCATGCCGAAGGGGCCGCCAAAGTCAGCAGGACCGTCATCGGGGAGTTCGTCAGGGTATACCCCATACCCCTTTGGGGTAGATGGCCAGACAGCGTTGGCCAAAGCGCGTGCCGGTGGCATTGTGTATGAGGAGCACGCCCGCAACGTGCTGGTGCCCCCGGTCGCCCTGACCGAGTCCGAGATGAACTTAGGCCCTCAATGGGCGCACCACGCGTTTCTCACTTTCTCTGATGCCGTGGCTGGGTGGCAGACTTTTTACACAACTGATTATGAGCACTATTGGTTTCATAATTATTTGACTGGTGAGGTCAGCTGGGATCCACCTGCGCCCACAGTCGATCTCACTGAGTCTTAGGTGCTCTGGCCTGTCTCTCCCTCTTTCTCTATGTCACCAACCTCCCCTGCCATTCCTCGCCCTTGCCTCTCCATTCTTCTCCACCAACCAGTCCTCCTCCAAATCCTCTTCCTCGAATGCATCCTCCACCCGCCTCTGTTTGCCCGCGCTGTCTCAGCAGCCAGTTCCGCTTTCGCCGTGGCATTTTGATTTCGCTCGTGCGGCGTGTGACGCTAAAGGAATCGTCTTTTTGGCCATCAAGATGCCTCCCAAAGCGAGGTGATCGCGCGCCCCAAGGTGGTTGCGCTTTAATCGCGCATCGGGTCGACCGACGCCGTCGTCAAAATCGGTATCGCTCGCCATCGCAACCATCATCGACATCTTCGTCATCAGCGTTGTCGCCATTGTTGCCGTCGATTGCAGCCACCGTCATCGATGATCATCGTTATCATCAGCGTCGATCGCCATCGCCTCCGTCGTGCGTGCGGGGGGATGTCTCGTCGCACCTCGCAGCCACGGCTGGAGTCAGCTCGAAATTTGGCGCGGCCTTGATGGGCGTTGGACGCAGCTTGAGGCTGGCGCGTACGTAGATCGCTAAAGGGCGAGACAGAGAGAATGATCAGGGTGACGAGAATGGCAAGGAACATGGGGATAGGAGTGAGGATGGCGTGGAGGAGGGGGGGGGCAGTGGCACAGAGCAGGTGAAGGAGGAGAAGGTGGAGGAGGGGGAGGAGGCGGAGGGAAAGGTAAGACGGGGAAGAAAGATGGAGATATGTGGGATCCTCCTCTCCATCTCCTGCTCGTCCTTTTCACTATCCTTCTCCCTCGTCTTCTCTTCTGTTTCCTCTTCCTCCTTCGCCTTCTCCCTGTCCTTGCTCCTTCTGCCGCTGCTTCTCCCCCTCCCCGTCCCTCTCCTGCTTCTCCCTCTCCTCCTTCCTCCTCCTCCTCCCCCCCTTCCTGCCCCCCCCCCTCGCCAAGGCCTGCGCTGGCGCCGCCGGTGGCGGCTGCAGCGGCCGCTCAGCGGCGGCTGGCCCCGCCGTGGCCCGGGCTGGGTCCCGGGTCCCAGATCCTGGGTCCTGGGGCCCCTGGTGCCCTGGAGGCCCTTTCGGTCCTGGATTTTTTGCGCCCCCAGGTCCTGGGGTTCCTGGACCAGGGCCCCGGGGGCAGACGGAGAAGAAGGATAACGAGGTGGAGAACTAGGGAAACAAATAATGATCAGGAGGATGAGGATGAGTTCAAATGCGATGCTAACTGGGTGGAGTAGCAGAAGAGGGAAGAGGTAGATGGGCATGGAGGAGGATGACAAGGATGAGGACGGAAGATGTTGGTGAGTTGGAGGAAAAGGAGAAAGAGGAGAAGGAGGAGCAAGAGGGATAAAGAGGACCATGAGGATGTTCATAATGATGCGGAGAAGGGGGAAGGAGGACAATGGGGAAAAGAAAAAGGGGGGATGAGTCCTTCTCTACCTCTCTCCTCCGCCTCCTCCTCCTCCTCCTCCTTCTCCTCATCGTTATCCTCCTCCACCTCCTCCTCCCTCTCCTCCTCCTCCTCCTCCCCCTCCTCCTTCTTCTGCTGCTGCTGCTGCTGCTGCTCCTCCTCCTCCTCCTCCCCCCCTCCTCCTCCCCCTTCGCCCCCTCGAAGCTGAGCCTTAAGAAGGCCCAGGATACGTGCAGGGCAAGTCTCATCGATCAGAAGGTTGGCGGCCCTGGAACGCCGCCCCGCCGCCCCGTCTAACAAGAGCCAAGCTACTCCAGGACAGCCGAGCGACGCCCAGACGCCGGCCATGCAGGGAAACCTGCCTTTACCAGATGCGCCACTGGCCATCATAATTGGTAGTTCGACATCAGAAGAAGTAGAAGGCGATGGTTGTGGGTTAGATGAGAATGACGTCACCATCCTCATGATGGACGCGGCTGGTGAGGAAGAGGTCGACTTCGACCCTGATGAGTCTGAATCATCATCACCATCGGCACAAGCGCCGCTTGCGCCGAGTTCCACCCAGCAGGGAGACCTGCCTCCATCGAGCGATCCATCTGGGATCGCAGAGGAGCCTCCTCAAGCACCTCCAACGGGTGCCGCTCCTGCTGCATCGGCAGCTTCTTCTGGCGAGAACACCAGAAGATCTCGTTCCCATGCGCGCGTCAGAGAAGAGCCACATCCCCAGGCTCGACTTCCTCGTGAGTGGAGACAGGCTGGCCCAAAGGAACACGCTCTCAGAAGAGGTGGCCAGCTACTTCCGTACAACGACCCACGACGCCGAAAAGGGAACACTCGGCCTTTGGCCAGGGCAATCCTGCCTATAGGGACGGTGATGGCAGGCCCATCCGTGGAGGCTATCAGCTTGCTACAAACATCCGCCGCCCTGAAATACAAGCAGCGCGGACCCAGTTGCGAGATATTATCGCGGCTCGCAAGCAGTGTAGGCCTCACGCTGCATGTGGTCCTTGTTCTCAGCCGTTCCAGAATCACAGGCCAGGATGCCCCGTTGGAAACGACGAAGGCCTGAGCCCCAACAGGGGCAAAACCCCTCCTAAAGAGGGCCATCCGCCACTTGACCCGATGACGCCGGAAGAGATCGCAGCAGTGAATAGTCGTCTCGGGATCTTGGGCCACTTGGATCCGAAAGAAGAAGAGAAACCTACTCCGGCTCCAAGGGGAATGGTAGCCATGACCCAGGAAGAGAAAGACGCGCTCTTTAGTCTTCCTGGTATGCGAGGAAACTCGCCTGGCGTCTCTAGCCAGTCCCAACAACCAGAGCTGATCATCAAGGACGAGACAAAGGCTCAACGTGTGGCGGAAGATGAGGGGCGCATTCGGACAGTAGATGAACGCACACGCGAGGCAACTCGCAAGATGCTGGAGGATTCCAGCAAGATCTACATGAAGGGGGCTAGAAAGCCCCCACTCCCACTAACTTCGAAGGCCAAGAGTGAACCCCCGACACCTAAGCCGCCTCCGGCGCCGAAACCGAAGGCGAGCTCTCGGAGCCCTGGGCCAGACGTGCATATGGAGGTGCCTCGATCTGCGACGCCGAGGCCGCCGATTGGCGCAACTCCTCCACAAGCGTCTGTGCCCAAGCAGCCACCTCAGGACCCTATGGTGGAACGAAGACGTTCGCTTAGCCGCGGCAAGTCCATTGCGGAACGGGCGGCAGCTTTCGAGCGCAGTGAGTATGCACCTGCGCCAGCTTCGCCTGTGGCGGCTCGTTCCAGGAGGTCCGATGAAGGTGCTATGTCGAGGGGTAACTGGGTGCCGAAGATCAGGGGCAGCGCCAGTCGCGCATCTCCGCGGGGAAACCCGCCAGGCGCTGCTGCCGCAGCTTCCTCCTCTTCAGGAGCCGCAGCCTCTTCAGCAACAGAGGCTCCGATGCGGGGAAACCCGCCAGTAGTTCAGCTGCACCACCCAGGAGACACATCCTTCACTAGTGGGACTCCAGATCTGATTAGGGATAGACTGGCACTTCGGAAGCTCCCACCGATACGTTCGGTGGATGAGCCATTCATGAAGGAATGCAGGAAGGCCGGAATTCTTCCCAGATCCAATGATACTCTTAAAAGGTTAAGCAAAGCTATCAGCAGGATATGTAGACATGCGCCAGATAAGTCACAGAATCCTGTGTGGAGCCTGAAATCTTTTGATGATCATGATGGTTGGATCAACCTCGTGGAACTCGTGACTGACTTTCCGCGGAACACAGGTCACTCGAGGCACGCTTATGAAGAGGCCAAAGTCATTAGCGAACAGTTGTATGGTCGCTCGGTTGACCAATTCGCAGCCATCATGATGGAAGTTGCTCATGTTCGTGAACCAGACGGAGAAGAAAAACAGCGCCTTCAATTCAAGGTGCTAATGCGGGACTCCGGCGAGCCCGCTATCTTCGTCCGCGCCTCTCAGGGGCATTCATGGAAATTGAAAGCTCCATGGTCGCTGTACAGTTACATTGTACTGTGCGACGAACCCGCCGGGAGACCGGCCCAATACCCTGAAGTCGCCATGCATGGCACTCGATGGCACGCTTTCGAAGGCATTATGTGGCACGGCCTGTACTGTAGACCTGAGCACAACACGAAGAAAAGGGGGACAGGCCGTTCACACATCCACTTCGTGCCGACATTGCGCCGCCGTGCCGTGAACAGTGGGTGGGGCCCAGATTCAGACCTCATCATCTTTGTAGATTGGCGCAAGGCCATACAAGATGGTATGAAGTTCTGTTGGTCCGATAACGGAGTCCTCTTGTCCGAGGGAGATAACGGTATCATTGAACCGTATTACATTTCCCATGTAGAGGACCTGACCACTGGAAGGCAATGGCGCAACCCAGAATATTTGGGGATCCGCCGTGCGCGAGTCTCTGTCAGTATGATGACTGCCCCAGATAGGTGGGCTGATGTTGGTGATTCCAGCGTTAAGTACCAGTGGTCTCGAGACCAAGAGGGCGTTGATCCAGCCATGGTCTACCTCCGCAGGGGCGTTGGGGACCACTACAGCCCCACCCAGCTGGGAAACCAGCCTGAGATCTTTCGGATCTTTATGATCACCGAGAGTGAGGCCGGGAGCGCGGCTCCAAGCCGTGCCCCAAGCCAAGGGCCGAGCGCCGTGTCTTGGCAGGCCATAAGTACTTCAGACCTGGATCAGATTGCAGCTGCGCTGAACCCTGACCAGGTAGAACAGCTGGCGGACAGGCTGTACCAGCAGGATCCCTGGGCCGCAGGCCAGGGAGCAATGTCCGCTATGGCCACGAGAAATCGTCAAGCCATGCAGGGAAACCTGCCTACAAGCGGACCTGCTCGGTTCGAGCCAATGCACGCAAGCCCCACACAGAGCATGCACACTCCAAGGGGCATGACTCCAGCGGGCACTCCGCCAGCACAATCCCCATTTGGGACACCTGTCCGCCCTGCAGTAAACGGCGCACTCATAGAGAGGTTAGCTGCGGCTAGGGCTGATCACAGCACAGCCCTCCTCAACATGATGCCGCCCGGCACGCCAGCGAGTCAGCAGGGAAACCTGCCTGGTACACCAAGCCACCACAGGGCGGGTATACCCGACGACTATCGCTCAAGAGTGGCGGCCGCGGTACAGCAGGTGCAGAATCATAATCTGCCTCACCCAAGTGGGCAGAGGTGGAGGCCAGCCTGGTCCTGGGAACCGGAGGGTCCCAACCCACGGGACCCCGCTCGGCAACGAGCCTTTATTCCGGCGTTCAACGCCCATCCGAGCATGTCCCAGGGCCAGAGGCCACCACCCACGCAGATGAATCCGCCATTATACCCTGACGGCACAAGGGTCCCGAACAAATTTGTTCGGGAATTGGCGGATCAGATGCATAACCTCACCAATGTGCGCTGCAGTGACCACTCCATGTACCCGCACATGGCCTTCATGCCTTCTCCAACATCACCAGAGGTGGTTGTACAACCCACTGCCCATTCAATATCGTCTGGCAGTAGGGGCGTGCCTGACTACATCAGGCAGACACACCACACTCAGCAGGCATGTTTCATGAGGAGGCAGGCGGTGCAAAGTGTACGGGACCAGTCACGTGCAGCTGCACTCGACGTGGTACGGAATAGGGGCTCACCTTTGCGAGGAAACTCGCCTGCCGTGACTCCTACCACTTCCATGCCCAATGTCGAAGTGCAGGAAGTGCTGAATTCAGCGGGGACACCCCCATCAGCCTTCATGCCCTCCGAGACGGTACTGGAGAGGCAGCGGCGGGTATATCCCAGGGTAGCAGACGTAGAAGTCTTTACTGGGATGGAGGACACCTGTGCTGTATGCCTCGAAGAATTTCAGCCCAGGGATAGTGTGTACCGCCTGAGGTGCAATCACCTATTCCACGAGGGATGCTGGAATTCTAACGTGGTGGGCCACGTGACAAACCAGCGTGAGGGAGATCCCCAGCAGCCACCATGTGCGATCTGTCGTGCACCTGGCATTATAACATCGTCCTTCCCATGGACTGGCTCCCTTAGTCAGACTCCCGAGCAGTCAATGAGGGAGCTGCGGGAGCTAAGGAGCATGGTGGAG